AAGTGTGTGGGGCGTGGATGTCCAGGTAAGCCAGACCCCTTATTTCGTGCCAGTGCAATATTCTAACACTGTTATTTCAATGCTGTATGCGAAGCTGGAGTGTCCTCTCCAGAGCACAAAGCCTGGGCAAAATAATATGGAGGATAGGCTGCTACCCAAGCAGCAGATCCCCCCTCTCCACATTGCTGAAATGGTCCAATGGAAAGGTCAGAGCCAATATAACTGGTTCCAGCGACGCCGCAGGAGTTGCCAGAACGACACAAATTGCCTCTGGGACTCTGGCTCTGGATTTTGCCTCGAGGTTAACTCCTGAAGCCTTTTCCATGCATGGATACAAGGCAGTGGAGGTTTGAAATCGGAGTTTTTCTTCTCCTAGATGGGCTGCCTTCCAAGGCTGACGAGCCCCAGCTACCCCCCACCTACCCTATCATGAGAATGGCTGATGGCCAGATTCCAAAAGATGTCATCTATTGAGAATTAGTGCAGGGAAAGCGCCCCAGAGGGAGATCACAGCTGCGATACAAGGATCTCTATAAGCGGGATCTGAAGGCCTTAGGAATGGACCTCAACTGATGGGAAACCTTGACATCTAAGTGTTCAGCCTGGAGGCAGGTGGTGCATCACGGCCTCTCCCAATTTGTACAACAGGCCAAGGCAAAGAAGCAGTCCTGGAACCAGCAAAATCAGGGAGCTGGACAGGGGACAGACTGTATTTATCTTCAGTGTGGAAGGGATTGTCTCTCGAGACGGAAGGATGCCTAATCTGAAATATTCTAAATGATTCTCTGAGTTTATGTAGCAAAAAATGACACCATCCATACATAAACAGGAGATATCACCAGGTTTCACCCAAATTTTGAAGAGTTTCAGAGAAGAAAAAGAAAACTGTATACAATCAGTGATCACAGAATTCTTAGTGTCCAGGAAGGAGAATGGAAAAATGAGGATGGGAGAGGAATAAAGTGGATTATCCTGAAAAGGGTTATAGGTAGCAATGAACTGGAGTCACAGCAGGGAAACACTGTATTAGACTACAACTCCCAGAATCCTCTGGCCAGCATGACCAGGAGCCTTGCTGGATAGTCTGACTTACTAAATCTACTTTTGTTGGGTTTGTTCAAAGACTAAGAAGCTGGTAATCATTTAGGAGAATCAGTTATAAATACTGTTCTCAGTGAGATCCCACCGTTTTTGTATACATGCTGCTTCCACAGAAGATCTCACCATAGAAAAGCGAAATCACATGACAGGAGTTCTGTATGTGTGAAGGAGACTTCTAAATGGCTCCAGTGAGAAGCAGGAAGACTGGCCTGTCTCTTACCATTTCTTTGCCAAAGGTAAGTAAATCTAAACTTCCAAATTCCTTCCTTTACAGTCTCAAAAACTGCATACCTCTTAATTGCGTCAGGACATGTTCTCAGGACTTCTCATGAAAAGCTTCACTTATTTGTTAAAACGGTCGTCACTCACCACCATTTTCTCTTGCCCCTAATGTGCACAACATGGTTGATATCCAGCCTCATAGATTATTTTGTCTGTGATCTTTGATGGGATGGGACGATCCCTTCAGCCCAAAGGAAGAAGCTGCTTGCTCAAGGACACCGTTCAAGGAAACAACAATATCAAGCCATGGCCAGCATCCTATTTGGGTTTTACTCCTGAGTAAGTGAAATTGCATAAGGTAGCTATTTCAAATTGCATAAGACAAATATTACAAGTGGCACTATGTTACAAATTACCACATATGAGTTCCTTTACTCTCCAGTAAAATCCCAGTAGGATTCTGGCCAGTATCTTTAAAAAGGTGAATGTTCACGCATTCTACAAGTTGCCAGGAAAACTTTTTTTTAGGAAGGAAATACATAATGTGTTTTAACTCTTAAATCAATACTGGGGTGGGACGCCCAGAGAAAATTAAACAAAGGGAGACAGAATAAAGGTTTGATCATACATAATGCACATTGAAAGTTGCAGACACAACCTGTCAGCACTCAAAAGCAGCCAATGTGCCTCTGTGTTGACAGAACGTTGAGGTACAGGCATTACACAGATTAGGAGTTATTCATGGCAAAGTCATACGAGGAACAACATGCTAGCAGAGATACTGTCAGAATTCCTCCCTTTTCCCTCTAAAGCAAACTACTGTACACTTGTTTGCAAAAGGAAACGTGTGAGGCTGGAGGGAGGGAGAGAACGCACAAATGAAAGATGTGTTTAGAAAACTGAATGGCACTCGGCATTAACAGACCAAAACATGTATGGTGGGTGTTTGTATAGAGATGTTCCCAGTACAGTATCTCTCCGAGGCTGCAGGCATAAAAAACTATGCATTGAACAATAAAAGAGTGTGCAGGGCTCCATCAATCTGGTTATCAGGGCCATTAATTCCTAAAATGCAGAGACCCTTCCCCTGTTTTGATAAGGGGATGGCTTATCAAGTCTCACCAACCATGGGGGGAAACAAAGATCCCCCCTTCGTCCTTTATGGGTGGGGAGGTTTCTGGAAAGGGGAGGGGAGAAGCGGGTTGCTTTAGACAAGGTAATCCACCTATTGATTGCTTCTCTTTGGAGGGGTCTTGTTTAATGAATAGGAACGATACAGACAAATGGTACGCAACAGCATGGTGGGAGTGGGGGTTTGTGTATTCATCAGAAAATATCAGGGTTTTGCAACTGGACTTGTTTGGAGAGCAAAAAAGAAGAAGGAAAAGAGGAAACTATGGTGAAATCTGTCTGGGGCTCAGAACAGGTGCCAAGTCTATAATAAATCATAAAAACATTGAGATCAATAGGACAGGGTCTTGGCAAAATTAAGTCTGAAAGTTCAATACAATATTAAACAAAAGAACTACTAGAATGGACAAGAACCTATATGAATTATTCCATGAATTATGAAGCAGACATACCCTGAGTTGGACCATTTCTGCAGGAATATTTGGTTGGCCAAATGTGCAGACAGTTTGGAAGACAGTGAAGTATGAAGGGACAAAGCTTAGAAAGGCAAAGTATTAATGTATTAGGTGACAGGCTCAACTAACGTTATGTTGTCATCAGTGACCATCCACACTTACCAAAGGATTCCTTTTAGAACAGTGATTCCCAACCTTGGGTCCCCAGATGTTCTTGGACTACAATTCACAGAAGTCCTGGCCAGCTCAGCCAGTGGTGAAGATTTATGGGAGTTGTAGTCTAAGAACATCTGGGGACCCAAGATTGGGAACCACTGCTTTAGAAGGAAGGTTCTTCACAGAGTTTTATTGGTTATCAAGACTGGTTTTGCAGAAGGAATGAAAGCTTCTGTCCCTCCACCCTTCCATCAGATTTTGGTGAAGACTGTAAGGGATGGTTGTGGGAGCCCCCTCCCCCCCCCCAAAAAAAACAAATTAAATACATTTGATACATGCTCAGAGACACACCTTCAGTTTATTAAGATTTCATGTAGCCTAGTCTTCCTCTTCATATTGCAGTCTGGCATTGTCAACAGATTCTGTAGCGGAGGCTGAGGGTCAGATCAGTTAAGGTAAATGCCTCTTCTTAAGTTATACTTTCAGGCTTGCAAACCTTTCAGTGCTCCATGGCCAAGGACATCAGACATACAAAGGAAGCTATGCAATGTGTCAATTGTCTGATCAAAAAAAGAGAAAAAAAGCAGGCTAATTTTCCAAAGGCAGACTGAGGCAAGATTCTTTTGGAATAAACAGTTCTTTTCCTCTTACCCAACTTCTGCTTCTAAGGACATGTACAACTGTACAGCCCTGACCCTAACTGGAATTAAGCCCCCACCCTCACCTCTCCTCATCCCCTTCAAAAGCCCTACTCCATGTCGCTCCAACGCATTTAAAATGAGGATCAGCTGGTCATTCTGAGAAATGCTGACTCGGTGGGCACTCTGTACATGCTCCGGGGTACCTTCTGTTTAGTACGATTGATCCGGGCTGATTGCGGGGATGAAAGCGGGGCCTGAGTGGGGATGAACAGCCCCTCTCCCCCACATACGTCAATAAAACAACAGCTCCCTCCCCCTCCCTCCCCTCTTCTCCAGTTTTATGGGGTTTTGGCGGATTCGTGCGGGCGCAGGTAGCATTTCCACCGGCTCCTTCCTGCCTTCCGAGCGGGGGTCGCACCTATAGGAAGGGACGGCCCACGTCGTGCGGCTGCTTCACACTTGAAGGCAGTGGGGCTGGGGGGGGAAGGGAAAGGCGCGTCCCCGTCCAGCCCTGAGACGAAGCGCCTGGGGACCCTCATCTCCGCCTGTGGGGCGAGACCGCCTCATTGAAGCCGGCGGGGGTTTCGTTCCGACCTGCCTTCCGAGCGGGGGTCGCACCTATAGGAAGGGACGGCCCACGTCGTGCGGCTGCTTCACACTTGAAGGCAGTGGGGCTGGGGGGGGAAGGGAAAGGCGCGTCCCCGTCCAGCCCTGAGACGAAGCGCCTGGGGACCCTCATCTCCGCCTGTGGGGCGAGACCGCCTCATTGAAGCCGGCGGGGGTTTCGTTCCGAAGAAACACGTCCAGGCTGAGGCTGCCAGGGAGAGGGGGGGGGTCATAGAGGGGAGCGAAGG